GGTCACTTCATGTCTCTGTGCCTCAGTGACCCATCAGTAAAATGGGCACAATGCCTTGCTGAGGTCACCACGAGAGAATCAAATGAGATCTTGTCTGGGAAGTTGCCAGAGTAGATACTCGATAAACACTCATTCACTCACTGAGGACCCCCTGCCCGGCCTGGCTCCATCTCCCCCATTTCCCAGCGCCCTACAGCTTACCAGCCAGTTGTTGCAGAGCCTGCAGGATCTGGACTCCCCTGTCTCCTCCATCTGGCCTCGGCCCAGAACACAACGGAATCGGCTGGGCTCCCGCCTCCTCCCTCCAACTCCTTGGACTGAGAGTAAAATTGCCCAGAGAGAAACTGATGCCCAGGCAGAGGGAGGGCACCTGGTCCCAACCCATCCACCCCAGTCCTGCAGTGCCGTCTGCCTGCAAGAACAAAGGTGCGCTGAGCCACCCCCTGTTCTGTTCCAGACAGTACATTCTACTCCTGATTATGTAAGTGATTTGTGGGGAGGGTTCTGCTTTTGCTGAATTCTCGAAAAAACTTTTAGGGTTTTTTACAACACACATGCATTAAAATAAATATTACTTAAATAATTATTTTAAACACATTTGTTTCATTTAAAAATAGGAACAAAAACAATACATCACTGGAATGGAAAATTGAGGAAGAGAAAATAACCACCTTTAATCTCACCACCCCAGAGATGACCACCATTTTAGCATTTTTTTTGGGGGGGGGGGATGGGAGATGACATTTATTTATTTATTTGTATTTTTAATAGTGGTAAAATACACATAATATAAAAATTTACCATGTTAACCATTTTTTTTAAGGAATACTGATATGATTATTGTGACTTTCTTTTTTTACTTTTTGAATTATTTTATACATCTTTATTGCGGTATAATTGCTTTACAGTGTTGTTAGTTTCTGTTGTACAACAAAGTCAATCAGTTATATGTATACATATATGTATACATATATACCATATCCCCTCCCTCTTTTTTTTTTTTTTACATCTTTATTGGATTATAAGAGCACAGGCTCTGGACGCACAGGCTCAGCGGCCATGGCTCACGGGCCCAGTGGCTCCGCGGCATGTGGGATCCTCCCGGACCGGGGCACGAACCCGTGTCCCCTGCATCAGCAGGCGGACTCTCAACCACTGCGCCACCAGGGAAGCCCTCCCCTCCCTCTTGAGCCTCCCTCCCGCCCTCCCCATCCCACCCCTCCAGGTCATCACAAAGCATCAAGCTGCTCTCCCTGTGCTATGCAGCAGCTTCCCACTAGCTATCTGTTCTACATTTGGTAGTGTATATATGTCAGTGCCACGCTCTCACTACATCTCAGCCTCCCCTTCCCCCACTGTGTCAAGTCCATTCTCTACATATACGTCTTTATTTCTGCCCTGTCACTAGGTCCATCAGTACCATTTTTCTAGATTCCACATATATGCGTTAGCATACGGTATTTGTTTTTCTCTTTCTAACTTCACTCTGTATGACACACTCTAAATCCATCCACCTCATTACGAATAACTCAGTTTTGTTCATTTTTGTGGCTGAGTGATATTCCATTGTATATATGCGCCAAATCTTCTTTATCCATTCATCTGTTAATGGACAGATAGGTCGCTTCCATGTCCTGGCTATTGTAAATAGTGCTGCAATGAACATTGTGGTACATGACACTTTTTTTTTTTTTTTTTTTTTTTGGCTGCGTTGGGTCTTTGTTGGTGCAGGCAGGCTTTCTCTGGTTGCAGCGAGCGGGGGCTACTCTGTTGTGGTGTGAGGACTTCTCATTGCTGGGGCTTCTCTTGTGGAGCATGGGCTCTAGGTGCCTGGGCTTCAGGAGTTGTGGCTCACGGGCTCTGGAGCACAGGCTCAGTAGTTGTGGCACACGGGCTTAGTTGCTCCATGGCATGTGGGATCTTCCCAGACCAGGGACTGAACCCATGTCCCTTTCATTGGCAGGTGGATTCTTAACCACTGCACCACCATGGAAGCCTGACATGACTCTTTCTGAATTACGGTTTTCTCTGGGTATATGCCCAGTAGTGGGATTGCTGGGTTATATGGTAGTTGTATTTTTAGATATTTAAGGAACCTCCATACTGTTCTCCATAGTGGCTGTATCAATTTACATTCCCACCAACAGTGCAAGAGGGTTCCCTTTTCTCCACACCCTCTCCAGCATTTGTTGTTTGTAGATTTTCTGAGGATGCCCATTCTAACCCATTTTTAAATTAATTAATTTATTTATTTTTGGCTGTGTTGGGTCTTCTTTGCTGTGCACGGGCTTTCTCTAGTTGCAGTGAGCAGGGTCTACTCTTTGCTGAGGTGCGTGGGCTTCTCGTGGTGGCTTCTCTTGCTGCGGGGCACCTGCTCTAGGCACGTGGGCTTCAGCAGTTGTGGCACTCGGGCTCAGTAGTTGTGGCGCACGGGCTTAGTTGCTCTGCAGCATGTGGGATCCTCCCGGACCAGGGCTTGAACCCGTGTCCCCTGCATTGGCAGGCAGACTCCCAGCCACTGCGCCACCAGACAAGTCCCCATCTTAACCATTTTTAAGTGAGCAGTTCAGTGGTATTAAGTAATTCACATTGTTATGCAACATTTTAGTATTTTTGCTTCTGGTTTTTTTTTTTCTATGCACCGTTTTATGTTCATAGGAAAAAATATTTTAGGTATTATTTTTGTATCCTCTTTTTGTTTTTCATTGAACATTGACATAACCCTTTTTCTTCTCATTAAAAATTCTATGCAAATACCCATAAACCTACTTCCAGGAAGGGGAATAATATACATAAGGAGGGAGGTGAAACTTTCAAATTGATTGAAATACTTCCATCTATCTCGAATGTTTTTTCAAATCAAACATGTATTACTGTTATGATTAGAAAGAACACCAGTAAAGCTACCGAAACAAAAAATAAAGAAAAAAAGAGTGGGGAAGAATTTAAAAAATCTCAATAAGCATCATATTGAACTGTTGCTAAATGTTTATCACATGGTTAAACTACAATTTTCTCTCTCGCTGTTGGGTATTAGGCTGTTTCGAAGTTTTCACGAAGTGTAAATAACGCCGTGATGGACATCCTTTTGCACAAATCTTGGTCCACATGTGCTGGTTTTATCCTCATTCTCTTGTGGGGGAGGGGAAACGGGGGACAAGGAGGGAGGGAAGGCCACCAGCACTGCCCAGGTCACACTGACTGACCTGGGGTGTCCCAGACCACCTGCTTCTACAGGCGGTGTCCACCACCGGCTTCCCTCCTGAGGGGCCTCGGTCCTGGCCTCCCCCGGAGGATGGGGGTCCTGGCCCAGCCTGGATGTGAAGCCGCCCTTGTTTCTGCTGCTGAATCAAGTTTCTCCACTGCGACAAGAGAGAAGGGGAAGGGGGATGTTGGCTGTAGCCTCAAGTGTACCCTGAGCAGCAGGGGCCGGGGGGGGGCACCAGGAAGGGCGGGGACACGAGTCAGACCTCGTGGTTTTAACCATACCATTAGACTCCCCTGCCTCTTTGGGAAAGAATGAATGAATGGAGAGATAGAGCCCAAGAGGCAGGGTTTTCCTTGGGAGACAAAACCTAGAGCTGGACCCTCCTAAAGCACTTTCCCCAAGGAGGGAAGAACATAGAAGTTCCCTCCTAGTCCTGGCTGGCAAACCACTAGTAAAAAATAACAACTGGGACTTCCCTGGCTGTCCAGTGGTTAAGACTCTGCGCTTCCACTGCAGGGGGCATGGGTTCGATCCCTGGTTGGGCAACTAGGATCCCGCATGACACACAGTGAAACCAAACAGAAACAGAAAGCAAAACAAACAAAAAGTAGCAACCACTGAAACAGTAGAGTGCTTGCTATGTGCTAGGCAGGGTTCTGAGTTCCTTATATTTATGAATTTAACCTCACAACAACCCTGAGAGGTATGTACTATTACGATCCCATTTGTTTTTTTAATAAATTTATTTATTTATTTATTTTTGGCTGCGTTGGGTCTTCGTTACTGCACGCGGGCTTTCTCTCTAGTTGCTGCCAGCGGAGGCCACTCTTCATCGCAGTGCGCGGGTTTCCCATTGCCTTGGTTTCTCTTGTTGTGGAGCCGGGCTCTAGGTGCATGGGCCTTAGTAGTTGTAGCACGCTCATTCAGTACTTGTGGCTCGCAGGTTCTAGAGCGCAGGTTCAGTAGCTGTGGCGCACGGGCCCAGCTGCTCCACGGCACGTGGGATCCTCCCGGACCAGGGCTCGAACCCATGTCCCCTGCATTGGCAGGCGGACTCCCACCCACTGCGCCACCAGAGAAGTCCCTATGATCCCATTTTAAAGCTAAACAGACGAAGGCACAGAGAGGTTAAGTAACTTGCCCAAGCTCATACAGTGAGAAAATGTGGGGAAAAGGAAAGTGGCGGAGACAGAATTTGAATTCAGGCAGAGCTTGGTCACGTCTGGGCTGACACTGCCTCCCCACTACTGCCAATCACTCAGGAGGAACAGCCTGTGCCCCAGGAGAGCCTCCTCCCCAGACACACGGGCACTTCATCACCTCCCCGTGGTACAACCTGGAGGCCCCTAACCTTTTGGAAGGTCTGCGCCAGCAGGGCCTGCGTGTGTCGTCCCCACGCCGCCTCCAGCTGGGCCTCCCGGAGCCACAGTGTCCACCGCGGCGCCCGTAGGCCCCTGCGCAACAGCTGCCGGCAGCCCAGCGCCATGGCTGCTGCCACTGCCCGCCGCCTCTGCACCCAGTGCCGCCACGCGCTGAAACATCTGGACAGCCACTGCCGGCTGGGGACAGACCAGGCTGACCAGGGGATGGGCCTGGTCCCCAGTCCCAGGGAGAGCTGGGGGCCCAGCAGCACTTGCGTCGTCTTTCCAGCATGGAGGGTGATGCTCCACGCTGCGGCAGGAGAGCTGGGTGGACCCCGGGAGAACTTCCCTTTATGGAGGGCTAGCCTTGGAAATCCCAGACAAGAGAGCTCCTGAGGGCAGGGGAATGAATGCAGGACAGCCTCGCAGGTTTAGGATTCCCAGGAGCGGCAGTCCCCGCGTTTCTCCTGAAATTCTGCGAGGATCTGCCATCCGGGCCTTATCTCTGTCAGGCCCGAGTCTGCAGGCAAATGGGAGAGGAGGCGTCCCAGGAGCATGGCCCCAGCTCCCACCCCCAGCCCATGACCTCACCGGCCTATCTCAGACTCCAGGCTCACAGTGTTTCCGGCTGCGTTCTTGGAAAACAAAGGGACACGACACAGCACTCAGGCCAAGAAGCAAGCAGGACTGGACACCCCTTGCTAAGCCTGCCTGCCCACGGCCTCCCTTTCTGAGGGAGGGTGACAGAGGAGTGACAGCCAGCTTGGAGCGAGAATTCCTGGGAGGCAGCCCTCCTCCCCCAACCCTGAGTCCCCCAGTTCCCATCCCAGACCCCTCTGGCCTCTACCTGCAGGGCACTCCTCGCATGGGCCGTGTCTGGCAGACTGGAAGCCGGCCTCCCTTCTTCCCCGCCGACCTGCTCCCGCGGGGTCCTGTCCCCTCCTTCCCGCCCAGGGAGAATGCCCCGGGCTGAAATGGACGAGGCTGAAGAGCAGAGTCTGGCCTCCCTGCTGCCCACCCCTTGAGGGAGCAGGGGCTCCTCCCTCTGTCCCCTGCCGTATGTAGTCCCTGGGGAGCACTTCTCTCCTCATCTTACAGGGTGAGCAGGAAGGACCCCTTGCTCAGGGTCAAGGGCAACCCCGGGAAGCATCTCCAAAGTAGTCTCCAGTGATGCAGGCTTGCTGCTTGCCTGAGAGTCTGAGAGACCATCCTGGACCCCCGGTGCTTCCGGGAAACTTGCAGTTTCCCTGAAACCTTGGGAATGTTTCCTCCTCTCATCCCAGGAAGCAAGAAGAGGCTGGCTGGGCTAGGGGTGAGCAGGGAGTATCTGGCCAGCTCTGGTCCAGGACTCCTGCTGCACAAGGCCTGGGGGTTCCCAGGATGCCTGGCACCTGAGACGGACTGCCTCACGCTCCAGGCGTTGCACAGAGGCCAGCAGCTGGTGGATGGCAACTTGGGACAGAGCCCGAGTCCGGCTCTGGGCAGGGACAGCCAGGTCCTCCAGGGTGAGGGTTTCCCCCACAAGCCTGGAGGTCCAGCCCCCCAGGCCACACTGGGATCTGGGGTCCGGCCGTGTGTGCCCTTTGAGCGGGCCCAGGCCTGCAGCGGGCCCAATGTCTGGGCAGGGGGTATTGGTGGACAGCAGCCGGGACCACCTCGGGCGGGAGGCTGGGGAAGCCAGTGGCCCTCGGGGTAGAGGGCTTTCCCCGGGCATCCTGTGTGGCCAGAAGCTTTCCTGAGCCCCCGACCAGAGGCGACGTCCCCACTCAGCCATGCTGGTCTCCCTGACACTCAGATTGCTCTGCTGGATGGCAAACGCCTGGGCTCTTCTTTGGGGCCTCCCGGCCAGGGGCTGCAAGTTGCTCTGCTGTCGGAAGCTTGAGTTGGTCAGCTGGCCAGTCGTGTCCCTCAGGGCGAGGCCCAGGCTGGGGCTGGTCAGTTTGCTCTGGACTCGGCAGGGCTCCTGGCACAGTGCTGCTCCCGGGGATGGTGTGGTGGCAGCCCCCCTGCTCTCGGCCTGGCCCACGGGCACCCACCGGCCATGTGTACTGGCCAGGCTCTTCCGGAGTCTCCATTGCTCTAAAAAGAGGACAGAGAGTTATGCCCTGGGGGAGAACTTGGTGGTCAGTGCTGGGGAGGGACAGGGCTCCACACGGGAGGGAGCCCAGGCTCCAGAGGTCTGCGTCAGCTCTGTCATCCCAGGTGGACCAATGGATGCACCCGGGGGTCTTGAGCCAGAGCAGCGACCTAGTGACAGTGCAGGGACTCAGAGCAGGGACAGGGCAGGGGCAGGGAGGAGGGCAGAGGGAAGCAGGGAGATAGTTGGGAGGCTGCTGAGGGGTCCCAGGCGAGAGATGATGGGGCTGGGATGGGGGCAGCAGGAGGGTGGAGAGAAGGAGACAGATCAGGTCTGCTGAGAAGGCCTAGAAGAGGGTGAAGGAAAGAGAAGTGTCGCTGATGGCTCCCTGGTGTCCAGCTTGAGCAAAGAGGTGCTGGGGCGTCCGCAGCTGGGGTGAAAGCAAGACTCAACATATCAAACAGCTAAACGTGGGCTGCTCTGGCCCTGAGGTGGTGGCGTTCCTGACACCTGCTGGTCTCTCCAGCCCCCAGGCCGTTCTGCAGCTGGGAGACAAGGCCTCTTGGGGGCTGGTGAGATGCCTGGGAGGGCCTGGCAGGTAGTGTGGGCCATGAAAGTTTGTAGATAGGAACTAAAGGTCAGAGAAGTTAAGCATCTTGCCCCACGGTCACACAGCTAGAACACAGAGAAACCGGCAAGTAAATAGGAGTCTGAATTTGTTCTTGGGCTACTCCCACTCTTGGCTGCACCAGCTCTGTGGCCTTCCGGAAGCCCGAGGAACCTGAGCAGGGAGGTTCCCAGCCCACCAGCGCTGCCAGAAGACCGACCTGTGAGGGCCCCTTCTCTGCCAGGGGCCCCAGACAGGCCCCCTCCTGCGCCCCCCTCCTCACCTTGTGTCCTGACTTCCTGACCCTCCCTCGCGCCCCAGGCTGGAAGACTTTGTCCTGGCCCAGCTGACTCTGAACAGCTAATCTCTGGAATTAGCAAGGCCCTGGGCTGGCCTGTCTGGGAAAGGGGAGCTGGGCTGCTACCCGAGGGGACCTCGCTCCTGCCACCTCTGACCCAGACCCCCTGAGCCTCTTGCCTGGCCTCAGGGGGGTGGCCGGCCTGGGGGGCACATTCTCCTTGCTGCTGGTGTCAGGTCTCAGCTCCATGGGCTCCGGGGCAAAGCCAGGGTGGCAGTGACCTTGGTCCACACCGCAGCCGGTCCTGTTTGATTAGGGGGACTCTGAGGGGTGAGGATAGGGTGCCCGCCTCCTACCCAGCCACGCCCAGCCCTGGTCCCCACTCCCACGCTTCCCCAGCATCCCTGGTTGCCCTGAGGTCCAGCCCCGGCTGTCCTGTTCAGGGCCCCTTGGGGTCTCCTCTCCCCAACCCCTGTACCACCCCTTTCCCTTGTAATTTTCTCGTGTCTTCCGGCACCGACTCCTAACACTGATGACAGATCCCTGTGGACCCTGCTTCCCGCGCAGCCCTGTCAGGTGAGGGCTCTTTCTCTCAGACCTCTAGGCAGGAGGGGGGGCCCTCTTTGCTTCCAGTCGCCCCTTCCCGACCATTCTCCCTCTCTCCTCTCTAAAATGCTCTGGTTCGAAGTTCCAGGCAGGCCAGGAAGGAAGTCCTCGTCATTTATTCCTTGACGATTTCAGCTCCCAGCTCACTGTCACTTTCTGCAGCACACACGTAACTTCTGGGTGGTTTCACCCTGCACGTGGACAATCCCTCCAACTCCTGGTCTGCGAGTCCTTGACCTTCGAACCTCCCACCATGCTGTCCTTCACCCAACCTCAGTCACCTGCTCCCAGGGTCCCCCCAGACTTTGTCATCCTCAGAAACTGCACCCCCCCCCATAATTTCAGTTTCAGAGCCCACACCCATCTATCCAGCTCCCTCCCTCTGGTGCCCCATCCTTCCTTCCATGAGACCCGACCCTCTGCCCCTACCACCCTTCGTCCTCCGACCCACCGGGCCCACCGTGATGTCTCTCTCCCGCCTCCTGCAGTTTAACCATCCGGCGTTATAACCATCCCCTTTGCACACCCCTGGCTCCTTCTCTCTGCCACTCACGAAGCAAAATCACGACATAGGTTAAAGTGACTAAAGGAAACCCTACAACTGCACTGGCGGCCTCACTCTGAAATTACCACCTTCAATCTCAAGCGGGCCCCCAAGGCTGCTGGAGAACCAGACTCTAGTCCCCTCATCCCCACCCTCTTAGAAGCTATTTCACACTTTCTCCGCTATCCTCAAGCCTCTGTGGCCTCTTCTCCTCTCACCCCCTGCAGGAGACCTTGTTCTTATTTCGCCCACCAAAGAGGGCCGTCAGAACACAACAGCCACAAGTGTCCCACCAGCTTCGTGTCCACAGCCACTCCCCCCCCTCCCCCATCCTGTGTGGCCCCACCCCCAGCCTGACCCTCCTCTGTGTCCTGGGGGCCATCCCATCTCCCCTGCCCAAGGCCAGCACCCAGGGCCACCACCGGCCTCCGAGGTCCCATTCTGTGAATCAGGAAAAGAACCCTCGATTCCCCACAGCTGACTCAGCCCCCCCACGCCCACCGGGGCACAGAGCGGGGGGGCGGGACATAGGCTATGATGTGTCCAGGCCCTGTCCCTGCTCCCAAAGTCACTTCCCTCATCGTCAACATTTCCCCTTGACTGACGGATTCATTCCCATCAGCACTTCAACAAGTGGTTATTTTTTTCCATCTTTAAAAACAAAAAGCAAGGGCTTCCCTGGTGGCGCAGTGGTTGGGAACCCGCCTGCCAATGCAGGGGACACAGGTTTGAGCCCTGGTCCGGGAAGATCCCCCGTGCTGCGGAGCAACTAAGCCCGTGCGCCACAACTACTGAGCCTGCGCTCTGGAGCCATGAGCCAGACACAGGTTTGAGCCCTGGTCCGGGAAGATCCCACGTGCTGCGGAGCAACTAAGCCCGTGCGCCACAACTACTGAGCCTGCGCTCTGGAGCCCATGAGCCACGGCTACTGAGCCCACGCGCCACAACTACTGAAGCCCATGCACCTAGAGCCCGTGCTCCGCAACAAGAGAGGCCACCGCAATAAGATGGCGCACCGCGGCGCACCGCAGCCCCCGCTCGCCGCAACTAGAGAAAGCACAGCAACGAAGACCCAATGCAACCAAAAATAAATAATAAATTTTTAAAAAAAGAAAAAAGCAAAACACCAAAAAGAACCCCACTCCTCTCTTGAGCCTCCAGGAAGGACTCAGGCCATTTCTCCCCTTCTCATCACCCCCATCATCCCCCACCTCCATCTCTGCTGACCTCAGTGCAGTTGGGCTTCCCTCACCCCAAAGTGCCTTTCCTCCAGGTGATCTCTGCAGTGCCAAGCCTCTGGCTAGTTCTCAGCCTTCGGCTTGTTGCAGGATCTTAGTTCCCTGACCAGGGATCGAACCCGGGCCCTCGGCAGTGAAAGCGCAGGGTCCTGACCACAGGACCACTGGGGAAGTCCCAGCCCTCACTTTTCTTGGAGCAGCAAAGGTGGCAGGACAGTGATCGCTCAGCCTCCTCGGAGCCCCTGCCTCCAGGCTGCCACCTCTCAGTACCCCTCCCTCCCTCCTTCCTGCCCGCTCTTTCCAGCCTCTTCTGCTGGTTCCTGTTCTCTGCGCTCATCCCTGGGACCCCCCACTTCCCTGATGCTCGCGCCCCAGGTGACCTCAGCTTCAGATGGTTCTCACGCAGACTCCCATCCCGCTCTTCTGGACATCCTGACTCCTCCCTCCCTCCCATCACGTGCAGTCCATCAGCTAATCCCATCTGTTCCACCTTCCAGACACCCAGAATCTGCCCCGGCTCACCACCTCATCCTTACCTCCCTGGGTCAAGCCACCCCCTCCTTCTGCCTCCTAACTGGTCTTCCCTCTTCTGCCCTGTCCCCACATCCGACAGCCTCCTCCCAACAGAGGGCAGAGTGGCCCTGTGAACACTGAGATCAGGGTGTGTCCTGACGCACCTCAAACACCCCCAAAGACTCCCCAACCCACTCAATCCTCAACCAAGGCTTTGAAGCCCTCTCTCAGGGACCTTATTATTATGTACAAAGTGACGTCGGAACACAGCCTCATCTCTTTGGTTATGCTTGTCTATGGCTGCACACATTTACCCTCTGGCCTTTAAGAAAGTTGGCTGACCCCTGCTCCATGCTATCTGCTCCCCACCCTTACCTAACCCACCCTCCCCCTCTACTCCCTCCCCTTTTGCTCTCTCTGCTCTGAACACACTAGCCTCCTCACCGTTCTTCCAAAATGCTGTGCATGTTCCCACCTCAGGGCCTTTGCACTTGCTGTCCCCTCCACCCAGAACCGTCTCTCCCTCTCTCCCTCATTCCTTCCAATCCTGCTCAGACTTCACAGGGAGCCCTTCCCTGACCACTCTGCCCACACCCACCCTCAGCACTCCCGCCTCTTTTTACCCTGCATGATTTTTCTCCATGACTTATCACCACCTGACAGACTGCAGAAATTAGTGTTTGCTGTTCTCTCTGCAGTGAACTATGAGCCACTGTCTCTTTTTTTCCCTGCTGTATTCACAGCACGTAGAATAAATAGTATGTGGCACACAGTAGGGGCTTATACATTGTGCTAAAGGAGTGGCTGGGTCGGGCTAAGCATCATGCAGGCTTTAGGATGTGTCCTGTCATTTAACCTGCACCGCAGCCCTAAGAAGTAGGCTGCTCGTTTTAGAGATGAGCTTAAAGAGACTACCTGCCCAGCCCAAGGCCTTATAGCCGGTTAGCAGTGGCAGAGGGCTACCCCGGGAGCTAACTCCGCAGCACATGCTCCTAACCAGGACTGGCCCGAACCCCACCTCTTTCCAAAGGAGACTTGAGACAGCTCAATCTGCAGTATCCCTTCCTACCCCTAATTCCCTTCATCCCATGCCTGGGCTCATCGGCCCATCTATCTGCTCTTCAACGCCCACCCCATCTGCCCCCTGCCACTCCACCCTCATCCTCGTCCAGTTAAGGCGATAAGAGTCTCTCTTCTCTTCCCACCAGGACTCAGTTTTCTGCCCTCCTGGACCTGCCCTCCCGCGCCTCTATCTTCCTCTGGTCCACCTTCACCCAGTCGAATTTGAACCTGGAGGGGATCTCAGGCGGGACGGCTAACGATCCAGGCAGGTGGAGGCAGGGGAGCGGGGGCGGAGACATTAAAGATCGCGCCTGCCCAGTGCGGGGCTGCCGCATGGAGGGCGCCCCCTGCGTCTCCACGCGAGCTGAGAACTTGGCGGCGGGAGTCTGTGCGCGTGCGCGCTCGGGGATGCGGGTGGCTGGCGGGTGGGTGAGGCTCGTGGTCCTCGGGTTCTGGCCCCAAGCGGTGTGCCCGCGGGCAAGGCAGGTGGGCCTCGTGCAAACTTCTCCACGTGCAAGACAGAACTCTGCCCGCCTTCGGCTCCCTCCGAAACGGGCTGGACTCCGCCCTACCCACTCCCCTCGGCGCTGCGTCCTTGGCGCAATCATACTTTTCTCCGGGCATTTTCTACCTGCCAAACCTCTTTGCCCATGCTGTTCCCCACCCAGACCTGCCGTGCTCTTTACTTTACGTTTTCTCTTTTCTAAACAGGGAGAGCACTGGGCCTGGAGTCAGAGGACCTGTGATCAAGATCAGTTCCCTTGCCCTGTGACCTCAGGCAAGTCCCTAAATTCTCTGAACCACAGGCTCCTCCTCTGTAAAAGGGGAGTGGTGACACCTACTGTACTATCTCAGGGGTTTCATGGGCGAATCAGACGTTTAATAAATAAATGCCAAAGAGCCTTTAAACTCTAAAGCAGTTCTTGAAGGAGGGGATGATTATTACTTCCTCTTAAGTCCTCTTTTATGTCTAGTAATACTTTTTGCCTTAGAGTCAAGTCGATCTGATATTAATTTAGCTATACCGGCTCTATTTCAGTCCTTATTTGCCTGGCTTAACTTTTTCATTGATTTACTTTCAGCCTTCCTGTGTCTGTATTTTTTAGGTGTGTGTCTTAAAACACAATGTGGCTGGAAGTTTTTTGTTTTTTGTTTTTTGCGGTACGCGGGCCTCTCACTGTTGTGGCCTCTCCCGTTGCGGAGCTCAGGCTCTGGACGCACAGGCCCAGCGGCCACGGCTCACGGGCCCAGCCGCTCCGCGGCACGTGGGATCCTCCCGGACCGGGGCACAAACCCGCATCCCCTGCATCAGCAAGCCGACTCTCAACCACTGCGCCACCAGGGAAGCCCAATTTATTTATTTTTGGCTGACGTGGGTCTTTGCTGCTGCACTTGTGCTTTCTCTAGTTGCGGCGAGCAGGGGCTACTCTTCGTTGCGGTGCCTGGGCTTCTCACTGCGGTGGCTTCTCTTGTTGCGGAGCACAGGCTCTAGAGCGCAGGCTCAGTAGTTGTGGCACTCGGGCTTAGTTGCTCCGCGGCATGTGGGATCTTCCCGGACCAGGGCTCGAACCTGTGTCCTCTACGTTGGCAGGCAGATTCTTAACCACTGCGCCACCAGGGAAGTCCCTGAAGGAGTTTTTGAGGAAGCAGCAGAAGCAGGAAGGTCCCTCTGACCTTCCCCCACCGCCCTGCCCTTCTTCCCTGAAACAGGTCATAAAACTCCCCTGTACCAGGAGGAAAGAAGACATTCTTATCACCAGAGACAGGGAATTTCTGGCCAAAAAATCTGTAAAAACAGACCTTGTTAAACCCTTATCTTCCTAGTTACTTCTTTACCATTTACAACCCCAAGCCCAAACACCTTTGTCTTGTCAACTCTTCACAAATTTCTTGTTTTTCTTTGTCTAAAAGTTTCCTGCTCTGGTCACTTCTTTGGGTCTGCATTCTCTTGCATACATAAAAATTCAAAAACTTTGTATGCTTTTCTCCTGTTAATCTCTGTCAGTTTAGGGACTTTCCTGGCGGTCCAGTGGTTAGGACTCTGCACTTTCACGGCCAAGAGCGTGGGTTCTATCCCCGGTCAGGGAACTAAGATCCCAAAAGCGCAGCCAAAAAAAAAGCCCCCCAAAACAAAAAACTGTCTGTTTAATTTTCAGACCCAGCGGGGAGCCTAGGAGGGTTGAGAAAAACTCTTTCCTCCCTACATTGGCCATCCCTCCCTCTGAATAATTAACACAGGCAATGAGATGTACCATTTATCTAACTGAGGCTCAGTGAAGTTAAGAGACCATCCAGTCACTCACACCGCCAGTCAGGGGCTGCATTTAGGATTAAAACCAAGACTCGCTGGCTCCAGAGCTGGTTTGAAGAGTTGGAATTTCCAGGCTGATTTGGAGACGCTGAGGACGTGCCTGGCGGGCCCCTGCTCTGGTCCAGTTTTGGCCAAGGGGAAAAGACACTGACCTTCCCGGGGCAACTCCTCTGGCTCCTTCATCTGGAAGGCTCAGTTTTGTGAAGACAAGAGATACAAGATTTGCAGACAAGATAAGTGACTTTAGCCCTGGCCAGCAGGAGACCAGAGATAAGAGGAATTTGCTTCCTGTGGTTGACAGTTTCTAGAATGTGAGAAAACCCTATAGAAAAAGGGATTTGGACTCTTTCCAAATCCCTTTAGAAACTGGCCTTTTAGGGAGAACGTGGGGGAATTCCCTGGGGGGTCCCGTGGTTACGACTCGGCGCTTTCACTGCTGTGGGCCCTGGTTGGATCCCTGGTTGGGGAACTAAGATCCCGCAAGCCACACGGTGTGGCCAAAAAAATAAATAAATGAATAAAAAGAACACGGTAATGAGAATGTCTGGCTGGAAAGGCCCATTACCTCAAGTGCGGCCCACTGGAGACTTGAGTTCCTGGCCTTGCCCGTGCTGAAAACTCAGCTTCTGTGCACCGGGACCAAGTCAAATCTCGGAGACAGTTTTGGGGGAAGTAGAAAGAATAGCTTTATTGCTCTGCCAGGCAGAAGGGGCCGCACACATCACTGCCCCAAACCTGACCTCCCTGTCTCCTCTTGGTGAGTGGCAGCTCCAGCCTCCAGTTGCTTGAGCCCCAAACCTTGCAATCTTGATCTCTTTTTCTCCTCCATCCAGTGCATGAGTGAAGCCTGCTGCTCTGCCTTCAGAACAGATCCGAGAGCTGCCACGTTGGGAGAGGTCATCTCCATCACGTGGCCTTTCCACCCTGCTTGGCCTGGGACACTTCCTCACCAAGAGACAAAGAGCCCACACAGCCTTGCCGAGCTCGGCGCCTGGTGTGGGAGCATCTTTCCCTGTTTCAGGCCCAGTGTGTGCTCTTTCGTTCTGCTTAAGCCTGTGTGTCATATGGCACCCGGCCAGCCCCACTGCTCTATCTGTCCTCTTCGGGGAGGGGTTGGGGTCCTTCCACTGCGCCATGAGAGGGCCGAGCACAAGCAAACTGCCTGTCAGCTGCCGGGAGGGACCCGCTGGTCCCTGGAAGACCGACGCCACTACTGAAGCCGATCTTGCTGTCTCTTCTCAGAGTGAGTCCAGCGCCGTCCATAGTGCTTGAGCGTCTGATGTTTTCCTTGGCACCTCCAATACCAAGCTGCCGTGGGCAGAAGTGCCTGGAGGACTCCCCTGGATTGATAACCGGTGCCTGGTGCTCTGCCTGACCTGACCACTCGTCACCACCTCCATCTCTCCATCCAACACTGTCCTTTTAGAAGGTAACTCAGACCACGTCCGACTCTGCCCAAAGCCCTCCAGTGGCTCCCATCTCACACTCAACCAAAGTCCTTGAAATGACCTTCTGACCCATCTGGCCCCTGCTGCCTCCCTGACCTCATTCCTTCTTCCCATCCTCGGCTGCAGCCACTCTGGCCTCCTGACCGCGCCCCCAAACAGACTGGGCAGGCACACGCCCACTCAGGCCTTCCTCCGAGCTGTGCCCTGCCTAAAACCTCCCAAGCAAAAGGGAATCTCCCAGGTACTAGGGGCTTTTTCCCCCTCACTGGGGTATCCCTAGCATGTAGAACACTGCCCAGCTCCCATCGACTCTTGACTGCTTGTTGAATGAATGTCAGACACTCTCCCTTATGAGACCTGCTGTGTGGAAAGGGGCAGCCACCCTTGTGGCCCTCACTGTTCCCATGTGCCTCTGATGGCCTCTCCTTGCAGGATGGCCCTTGGCTTCCTGGGGCCACCTTGCCCGCATGGGCAGGGAGCCAGAGCAGCCTGAAAGTTTAAGTCACTGTCCCCCAACCCTGGAGTAGCCTTGGCAGATGACCCAGGAAAGCCCAGCTCCCCTGTTTTGCAACACATCACACGCTTCCTTTCAGGGTCTGCTCCTGGGGAGTTCCACCTCAGACAGGGGCCTTCCTCTGTCCTCTCCCCAAAGATCCGCTCAACTTGGGGGTCTGGGGCTATAAGGAACTGGGGTCTCTGAATATAATCCCCCTCTGTTTGACACAGCCTCTCCTATCTGTACCCCCCCACCCCGCCTCTTCCTTCCTTGAGTAATCTGACACGCTCAGGATCCAGATGCAGGAGTGTATACGCTGCAAGCCTCCCACATGCCAGGAACTGGTATAAGCAAGAGAACTGGAACTTGAGTGTTAGCCTCCTCTCCCCCACCCAAGGCCACAACCATGCACTTGACATGGGTCCTTCTAGTTGATGCTTTTACATCTTACCACATATACGCCACAAACAATACAGGGTATTGCTGAGAGGTTTTAAAATTCACACTAACGCTCTCATATCACGTGTGCCATTCTGCAACCAACGTTCGGGGGGAACCAACATTGATAGAAATAGCCCTGGTTTATTCATTTGAACTGCTGAACAGTATTCCTCAGAATGAACGGGCCACGGCTTATCTGTCCGCCCCCGTCTCGCTATGAGGCTGTTCCCGGTTTTCCACAGCTTCAGCCACCCAGCATCCCTTGGCCCCAAAGCACAAGCCCCTTCCCCGGAGGCCCATGTTCCTTCTTCCAGGGCTCTCGCCTCCTGACAGAGGACTCCTAATGCCTGTTCCCGTGGAGAGCAGGACCTGAGTTCACCCCTGTAGCTCCAGGCCCCTGCACAGCATGTGGCAGGCACTCAGCTTCTTTGGATGGATGGATACAGAAGAATGGGGGGGAGGGGACCGTGCACCAGGCCTTGACCTCTTTGTGCCGGGGACGAGCCAGGATGGCCTAAAAGAGCCCAGGTACCTGGGGTCCAGCGGTCAATGCCATCCCAGTGGGAGTGGGGTAGGGCCCTGGCCATGGGATCCTTGGAGCTTCTGGACAGGTGTCCCCGTCTGCTCTGAGGCCAAGACACAGGGTCTGCCAGGAGCAGACTGCCCCTGGCCCACTGACCCAACATCATCATGGGCTCAAGGAACAGCCCCGCCGACAACCTTGCTGTCACGCAGGGAGCCCTCCCGAGGGCCAGGCACTGTACATTTCAGCTGCATCATCACTCTCTGGGCAGGCATTAGTCCTCCTCCAGCAGACACGGGGGTCTGAGGGGCACACAGTCAGGGGCAGGGCAGGATTCAAACCAATACCTGAGCCATCTGAATTCGGAGAAATGGACACCCATTTACCGCAATGAACAGTGCCCTCCTCTGCTGGGGCCTCGGCTGAGCCGGAGCTGAGCACAGAGCAGGCCCAGCTGGTCGTGAGCCCCTGCTTCCTCCTGCCACAAGAGAATGGGCACCTAAGGCCTGGTGCCCTGGGGATTCGCCAGAATCTTCCCAGGAATGGCAAAGTCCAGGCTCCAGCCCTGACGGGAGATTAAACAAGGCTCAAAACACACTCAGCTAGAGGATTCCCTGAACTTTAATGCCATGGCTCCGAGAAGGGCAGCTGGAGGCTGTGGCGGACCTCTGAGGCTGCAGACACCACCAGCCTCCAGTGATGGGGTCCTGGGCCCCAAGTGACTAGGCAGTGAGAAGCCGGGGGTCCTCACCCCTGCACTCCTGGGGCTGCCTGTAACCAGAAGCTCTCAGAGCTCCTGCGGGAGGGCTTGGCCAACTTCGGGAGAGGTGCGGGGTAGGGGTATCACTGGCTCTTAGAGGCCTGACCCCGCCAGGCTCACGCACAGCTCGACCCAGGGCCTGCATGGAGCAGCTAAGGGTGGAGGTGACAAAAGCGACCACAGTTCCCAGTCTGGCACCAGTGGGATGCCTGGAAGGGAGGAGAGGCCTCGAGGAGTTTGGGACAGGTGTGCACAGGGGCTCCTGGCCTCTCAGGGCACTTGATTCAGGCAACCCCTGAGATGGGGAGCCGGAAGACACATCCCACATTAGTTCTGAGAAAGGTGGGGGGACGGGAGCACCCCGAGGATGACATCCAAGGCACCAAGAAGGTGATGCAGCCTCCTCCCACCCCTCCCCACAGCTTGTCAAACTGGCCCCTAGGCTGGGGCCAGGTGCAGCAGGGCTGGCTTCAGTATCCTAGGGGGACGTGAGCCCTGCTCTCCAGGTCGGCAGGGGCTTCTGGAGAGTCAATTGTCTGGTAGGCACTGTGCTCCTGTGAAGGTCCAAGGAAAGCTAGGGGGCGGGGGAGATGGGGGGAAAGAAAAAATGAAGGGTGAGGACTTAGGACATTCCACAAGGCCAAACCAACATGCCCCTACCCCTCGACCAGAAAGGCCAGAGCTGGGCATCCCAGCACCCAGGAGTGACAGTGGCAGCAGCCCCAGGCACCAAGCCTTTAGCATATATTATTTATTCAATCCTCCTGTAACCCTACAGGGCAGGTTTTTTATTGTCCCCACTTTAAAGATGAGGAAACTGAGGGTCAAAGAGATAAACTGACTTGCCTGAGATTATAAAGCTTGAAGCAGAGGACACCAGGATTCAAACCTAAGCAGCACGACCCCAAAGACAGGGCTCGTAGCCATTATGCCTCAGTGGTTCTCTGAGTAGCACATGCTCAGGAATCTGGCCAAGGGACGCCCAGCCCTGGGCCCGTGGGCTCCCCTCCGGCTCCTCTCCCGGACAGAGCGGATACAGCTTGACTGTTTCCAGAAGGCCCCAGAGCTGGCACAGTTGCAGAGCCCAGAGGGTGCAAGGCACGCGGTAGGGCTCTCAGTGCCACACCCCTCACTCCCACCTGCACTCTGCACATCTGTCCTGCGCTCCTGAACAGGCCCCAAGGGCCCCGGGCCTCAGTTTCTTCATCTGCCTAATGGAGGAACGTCACTGGCTCCTCCCCACCCCCGGGCAGGCCTGGGCAGTGCTGAGGTTGCCCAGGGTGGGCGGCCCCGGGCCATTCCTGCCCTTGGCCCAGCAGCTCTCCCAGCGGGTCACGGGCCACTCTGGGCCTCTCTTCTCAGAAGTGAAAGGTGGAAGACCACACCTCTCTCCACTTCTCTCAGAGAGAGAGAAAGGAGGTGAGAATGTGCATCAGAGAGGGCAGGGGAAGGGCCACCACGAGAAGGGGTACAGCTCAGAGAGGCCGTGGGAACGGGCAGCGGGTCTGGGCTAAGGGAAAGCGCCTGCAGCTCAGGGATGGCTTTGGCCGGGGCCCCCACGGCCTAGGCCACAGCACCACCCCTCCCTTGGCCACCCAGACCCCGTATGTGGCAGGAGACGGGGGTTCCGGCGATGGGGCTGGAGGGAGCTGAGAGGGGAAGAGCTGCAGGTGCCTACAAGCCTCGGGCCACAGACTGCCCAGAGCTGCCTGGGGCACTGGATCACGCCCCAAGCTGCACCCATGTTTGAGCTGACAGGGGGACCTGGCACTGTAGCCTAGTGCCAGGGAAAGGTCATACCAGGTGGGGGCGGCCAGGGGGACCCCTGGGCTCCTGCAGCAGAGACCAGAAACTTGCACACGGTCCAGCCTGGCTCCCAGAGCCCACGCCAAGCCCCGCCCTGCACCTCGAGCCCTTCTCTCAGGGGGCAAGGTTGGCTCCCTGGGGCCGGGGCTGGGGGGCGGGCAAGGTGGAGACCGGGGATAGGTGGGGAGATGGCAGCGTGCCAGCACCTGGGCCAGCGAGAGGGGAGTCGGGGAGCTGGCCGGAGGCGCTGACCTCACCATTGTGGAGGAGGTGCTCACCCCCGCGCTCCCGATGCATCTGGTAGACGAAGCAGCAGGAGGCCGGCTTGAGGAGCGCGCTGACGATGGCCATGCCAGCGCTGAAGCGCTCTGTGTCCGAGAGGCTGGCCCTTGGGTAGAAGATGCTGATGTGGATGATGTCCAGGAAGATGGTGACCACCAAGCCACCCAGAAACTGCAAGACAAGCCGGGCGCAGGGCCCAGGGGTGACCACATGTCATCCGGGTTTACGAGCCCGCTGCCCCCTGTCCCATCCCCTCACTCTCCCACCATATACACCAGACCGGAAGCTCCGCTTGTGCCCTACTGTGTCCTTGGGGTTTGCTGGAGAACAGATCAAGCCAGCAGGCAGGACTCTGGATGAGATGCCCAACTGGGGGTTGTGAGGCCGCGAGCAGGGGTGCGGGGCCAGAGCACCTTTCCCCACCTCCTCTCATCCTGAGGCCACGACGAGGTACAAGACTTGGGTCCAGAGCCTCTGAGATGGAAGGTCCCTCAGAATTCACTTGCTCCGTCTTCACCACCAGAGAAATCCCTTCTCAGCCATCCCGAGAGGCCGGTGCTGGTGCTAACAGCCATCTGGGTCTGAGCGGGTGTCGGGAAGCTCCCCCGTGGGACAGTTCAGCCAGACCGTGTCCACTCTGACCTCACAAGGTGGTGGAGTTCCCTCTTCACAGGCCTCCCGGCCACATCCCTCCCTATTAGGAGGGCCCTAGAGGTGGGTTACTGGCGTGTGCACCACTGCCCTCAGGGAAGGGCCAGTCTGGGACACCGGTGGGAGCCCACGCCATGCCCCTCTTGGGGAAAAAAGGAGCAGACTCCGGGCTCTCTGAGCCAGGCAGGCAGGGAAACAGGCCAGACTAGTGAAGCTGCACATGGGCTGGTAGCCTGGGTGGGCTTACTTAGCAGCAAGTGGAAAATGGGGAAATAAGAAGGGAAAGGAGATTGGACGAGTGAAGGGGAAGACGGAGCTGGGCCCGCGATCACCCTCAAGCCAGTTCTCCCCCAGCTCACCATACTTATGGCGTCGATGGAGTCCCGCTGCGCGACGGCCCACACGCCCAAGGCCAGGATGGTGAAGTTGGACCATGCGTAGGCACCCGGGAACACGATGCAGCCCCTGCGGGAGAAGGAGGCATCTGAGTCAAGTCAGGAGGTGGCCTCCCCACGGGTGCCCACCCCTCCCACAGGTCACCTCCTAAGGCTCTCAGGTCTCAGGGCCCCTACGAGCAGAGGCCACAGTCTATGGCCTTGTTCCTTCCCCTCACGCTCCCGTGCTCCAGAAATGTCAGCACATCCCACCGCTCTGCCTCCCAAACGGATCCGGAATCTGACCACGTCCCTCCAGGTCCAAACCACCATCCTCTCCTACTAGCCTCTCCCCACTGGTCTCCATACTTCCACTCCTGCCCCCTCCTGGCCATTCATAAACAGCAGCCAGTTAGGTAAATCAGGGGACGTCACTCTGCTAAAAGTTCTCCAACAGTTCTCTTGGAATAAAATTCAGACTCTTGATCATGGCCTATGGGGCCCTGTGGGATCTGGTGACACAGCCCAGCCTATACCTCCCATTCATTGCCTTGCTGTCCCCTCTACCCTGAACACTTGGTCCCTTTTTGTCATTTTAGCCTCACCTCAACTGTTAACGCCGAGACTCCTTCTCTGACTGCCCCATTTCAAGTATCACCTCACCGCTTTCTAACACAATGCCCGCCCTCTTTTATTTTGTAGGGTATTGCTACTAACTGAACTGTTTGTTTGTTTGTCAACTCAAAGAAAATAATAGTTAACACAGAGCCCTTACTAGTATCTGGCACAGTTGTAAATGCCTTAAATTCGCTCATTTATGTGCATTTGTCTTAACAACCCCAGTAAGGAGGCACTATTGCTATCCTCATTTTACAGATGAGGAGACAGAGGCGCAGAGAGGTCAAGTAACTTGCTGAAGGTCACACAGCTGCTAAGTGGCAGAGCTGGGATTTAAACCCAGGCAGTCTGGCTCAAGAGGCTGTGCTCTTATTCACTGTATTTGCTCAGCTTGGATGGCCCCAGCACGCAGTGGGGTGCCTCACAAATTTAAATGGCATTCCCTGAAGTGTACCACACAGAAAACATGTGCAAAGCACTTAAGTGTAGGGCACAACGAGGCTTACTCAGAATAAGTAATCTCATTTTTTGGTTTTGAGAAAGCAGGCCTCACCAGCTCAAAATCTTGGGGAGCGTGACTGAGAAAACTGGATTTTGACTCTGCTCCTCGAGGTCATTAACCATGATTATCACTGTTCCCATTATTCACACCCATTAACGTGTGCACTGCACTTCCACAACTGCAAAACGCACACGTGAGCTCAATGGTCTCCAGTCTTGGTTTGGCAGAGAAATCTCCCCAGAAACTCAACAGCTAAAGCAGACGGTAATGATGAAAATCAATCCTGAGGTCCTCAGGCCTCCCTTGTGCAGGCCTGGGCAGTGTCCGGTGAGCAAAGCATTGCCATGCTTCTCTCTCACAGCTCCTGAGTGGCGTGCTTCCTTGTACCCATTTTACAGATGGAAACCAAGGTCCCAAGAAGTGGAGTCACTTGGTCAAGGTGACCTGGCTGGAATATAGCAGAGCCAGGACCTGAACAGGATCAGTCTGAATCCTGAGTCTGCCGTCTCTTAGGGCAGGGGGTGTGAAGTGAGAGTGAGGGTCCACCCCTAAGCAAGTGACCTCACCCCTGTGTCAGGTGTCTACTTGCTGAGCCGCTGAGCTAACCTCCAGAAGGCGCCCAGCCTGGCAGCTGGCCTCTGGACATCCTCAATGAAGGTTAGCAGTTTTACAGTTCCAGAAGTTACGCTTTCACCTTCGATGACCTTAGAGGACAAGTGGGAGGGTCAGTAATGCTCTCACTTTATAGGTGAGAAAATGACTTAGGGGGTTTAAGTGACTCACCCAAGGTCACAGACACACAGAGCTCTACCTGACATCCACCCCAGCATGGTATAAGAGACCGGCCCCCAGGCTTCAGCACCTCAGACCCCCCAGATGTGAGGGCCTCGGGGAAGAACCAGAGTGGTGACAAGCCCAAAGGGCTCGGGCAGTGTCTGGAGGAAGGTTGAGCAGTTGGTACTGCCCTGGGCTGTTGTCTCCCTGAGGATGATGGCTTGAAGCTCCTAGGGCAGTGATGGCAAAGGCCTCTGGGCACTGCCTGCCCCCCTGACATCCTTGGAACATGGGGAGCTTGCTGGTGATGCTCTTGACAAAGGTGCTATTTAGTCTTGGAACGGGCTGGGAGACGTGGACAAGGCCCGTGAGACACATGGATGCAGACCCAGGACACACATGGACAAGACCCCAAGGAGACACGTGGACCCAGATGCTGGGAGACAGATGGACATAGAACAGGACACTCAGAGAGTCACTCACCAGATCGCCAGCAGCCAGTGAACCAGGAGGATCGCCTGTGACACACAAAAAGAGGGAGTGGGTGGAGAAGAGATCTGTGAATGTGACCACCATGGTGGCAGAGGGGTGGGCAAGAAAGCTTCTGGAGCCAGAAAACACCGGAAGCCCCCGCCTAGCACCTAAGAGAGCTTCAGCAATGTCTGTTGAAATGAAACACCACCAACAGTGACAGAAGAGAAGGTAGAGAAGGAGGAAGAGCACAGGCCAGGCGACACTGCCACGTTGCCCTCCCCACTCCCCCGGGGCAGCTGACACCTACAGCCCTTCCTGCTTCCAAAGGCAGGAGGCTCCTTTGGGGAACCTGGGAATCTGCTCTGGAATCAGAGGAGCCTCAGTGGGAAATGGGGGTGGGGGGGAGCTCAAATGAGGCTGATTTCTTAGGACACTGGAGCTGGGGTGCCGTGTGGGGACGGGGGGATGCCGGGTGCGTCCAGGGAATGGGAGGGCAGCCCGGTGGCAGAAGACCAGAGGGGAGAGGTGGGCTTTGAGGGCCTCAGCAAGGAGCATGTTCAGCCCAAGTGCACTGAGTGCTTTTCTGCAGGAAGGTTACACGCTATGATTTGTTAAGAAAAGAAATCCCCCTGGCTTTTTTCTAGAGTTCTGCGCTATCCCACCCTTTTTGTTGCCCCATATGTCCTTCAAAGACAGCCCTCTTTACTGGAGCTGGTCTCTATTCCTGGTAATCCAAAGGGCCCTGACTGCAAAGCAAGTAAAGAAGGAAGGAACAGATGCTACAGGGAGGACAGGGCAGCTGCCAGCTAGAGCTTCCAAAGAAGCAGGGAACTCGGGGCTGGTGCTAAAGGGGACGCAGGGACCAGCCAGGCAAAGGAGAGGGAGAGCCGGGTGTCCCAGAGTGGACACCCGGAAGCACAGGCAGGGACACAGGACCCAGAGCCCCGAGGAGGGGTGGCGCTGAGGCTGCGGGAGGCCAAGAGCCCCAAGTCGGGAGCTTCAGTGGGGCCTGGTGGTCGGCGGGGGCCCTTGAGGGGGTTTGCTCCCGGCACTGAGTGGTCAAGTTGGGAAGGGGAAGCCAAGAGCCTGGGGCGGGGACGGCATGCTGGGCCCAGAGAGCAAGGGCGCGCGGCCAGGATTGCAGTGGTCTCTGGTCTGGTGCGAGGGGCTAAGGAGAGGGAGCCACCTGCAACAAGGAGCTCTGGCTGCGTTTCTAGAAGGGTTACTATTTATGGCACACCTGCGATGTGCCAGGCCCTGGGCCCAGCGCCCCACGTGACCTTCTCTGGGCCTCACAACAGCCTCTGGAGCAGATACTAGAATCATTCCCATTTTACAGTCAAGAAAACTAGGCTCAGAGGTAAATTAAGTTGATCGTGATTCCACTGATGGCAAAACTCAAATGAAACTGTAAGTATGACTCCAGAACCAGGGCTCCTCGCCTTCACGCTGGATGCACGGCCTTCAGTGGAGAGGAGCTATTTGGACTTGAGACAGACGCAGACATTTTCCACATGGGGGGGCAGGTGACATCCGGGGCAGACGCCCGGGATACCCCACCTTCACCCCCAGTGCTCAGTGAAGTGAACAAAGCCCAGAGTATGGTCCACAGTGCCCAAAGAATCCCTCTTCCGGCTACAGAGGACTAGAACAGGTCCTTCTGTAAGGACCAATGCACCTGACCTTACACAGGTCTTGAGACTCTGAAAAAGTTGAGTCTACATGACAGAAGGCTATCTCTGGAAGGAATCTTTGCCATCACCTTCCCTCGTTTATTACCGAGTGCCTCCCATGCGTCAGGCAGCATTCTGAGATTTTTGTGCATAGGAATGCATTTCATCCTTACGATCCTCTGAGGTACAATTTCCCCCATTTTACAGTTGAGAAAACTGAGGCTCAGAGGTAAGTAACTTGCCCCAGGTTGCACAGCAGAGCCACGTTTCAAACCTGACTTAGCCAGGTGTTGTCCGACCCAGGGCCTGGGCAGATGTGCCCTCCCGTTACAAAGATGGGGAAACTGAGGCAGAGGAGGCCTAATCTTCTGAGGGTTTCTTTTCCGAGGGGCTGAAGAGGAGGGATCACACAGCGCTAAATTTCGGAAACATGTACAGTTTAAGCCGGCATCGCCGGCACCTGCTTGGCCTCCACCCTGGGGATTCAAAGGCGAGCTAGGCAGATGCAACACTGGGCTGCCCTTCCAGACCTGACACCTGGGGTGGGCGGGACACTGTGAACCAGGCAATCACCTTAGGAGTGTGGATTTCCAATGAGACAGCCTGCTGTGAAGGAAGTTACAGCAAAGGAAAAGGAACCTCATTCTGCATCAAGGGAGAGGTGCTTAGGAGGCTTCTCTGAGGGACGAAGTGGGTGAGCAGGGGTTAACCAGGGGCGAAAGAAGAGCATTTCAAGCAGAAGGGACAGCACCTGCAAAGGCTCTGTGGCAGTAGGGAGCATGGAACAATCTGGAAACGGAAAAGAAGCCAGTGTGGCTGGAGTGGAAGAGGGGAGTGGAGAGGAGCGACAGGAAGCTGGGGGTGGGGCAGGGCTGGGCCTGGAGGGCGAGGGGCGAAATTCTGATCTTTAGCTTAAGAGCAAAACACTGTCCCCCTCTGTCTAATAGGAAACCCTGCCCACACAGGGGAAGGGACCTGCCAGAGGCCATGACACGTGGCCAGCCACGGTGGTCCTGGTGCCGGGTTTTTAACTAAGACAAGACACCAAGGAAGGAGCCACGGGGAAGGCAGCTCACAACGCCACTCCCGAAAATCAACACCAAATCCGTCCCTCCCTTGACTTCTATTTCAGAAACGGTCTTCATTTCCAAGTGCTTTGGTTCCCACCTCTAGACTGTGCACACTGCAGGTCTTTAATAAAGGGGTGCTCTTGGCCTGCAGAGCCCAGCTTTACCATGGTAAGAGGAAAAGGCTGAGACCCAGGGAAGCCTGTGGAGAAACCATTCTGTTTAACCCGTGGGATAAAGTTTTTCCTGGAGCCAGAAAAGCTTGTAATATGGAGTGAGCACCTGCTAAGGTCCAAAACTAGGCCCTCTCTTTTGGGCAGGACAGAGTATAATCTGGAAATCCTGCAGACCTTTAGCAGACACACATCCCCTCGGTGTGACATCACTTTTGTTTTCTACACATGTTTAGGAAACGTAGCATTAGTGGATCACTTCTCTTCAGCCCTGGGAAAAGAAACCCACAAAGACTAAGTTTCCCCACCTTTGTAATGGGAGGGCACACCCACCCAGGCCCAGAGGGGTCTAATGTGCAGGAAAACTCCAACAAGAAACCCAGCCAAGATTCTAAAAAAGAGTGGCTATATGTATATGTATAACTGATCCACTTTGCTGTACACCTGAAACTAACACAACACTGTAAATCAACTATATGCCAATAAAAATAAAGAAAAGAAAAAGAAACCCAGCAAAACTGGCTCTGCCCTTCCTGACAGCCCTCATCTCAGCACAAAAGAACTGTCTGCTGGCTCTGGGGGAGGTTTCTGGTAACCAAGGGGATACTGGGGATTCCCAGGTACTGCCGTAGAGAATGAGGGAAGGAGGGGCCTGAGAATGTGCCTGGGCAGCCTGACCGTTCTGACTGGGCAAGAGGAAACAGACCTGAGCTCCTGGACTCTTCCTATAGACTCAGCCCAGGTGGGCTGCCCCGCCCTTTCCACCGCAGAGACAGGCATCGGACGGTCACTGGATGTACCTACTTACTAACTGTAAGTACTGTGTGGAACAGGCATCCAGAAACAGCGTCAACCACATCAACCCCTGCTACTGATAAAGATCTGCCTGTCACGTGTCTACACTACCCTGAACACTCGGCCCATGTCATCCTTGCAACGGTCTGGCGTAGAGTTTTAATCCTGTTTTACTTATGAAGAAACTGAAGCTGTGAAAGATTAAGTAAATTGGCCCAAACGGTAATGCTTATAAACAAGAGAACCCAGATGCAAATCTCAGATCTATCTGGTCTGAGTTTTCCTGCTAATAAAAATGTGATGAAGGGGCTTCCCTGGTGGCACAGTGGTTGAGAGTCCGCCTGCCGATG